CAGCTTTTTGGAATTAAATCCAAGACTGCACAGCTCTAATTATAATAACCCTTAGCAAAAAGTGTGATGTTTCTGCATATCTGCAATATTTAAATGGTTTAATTATAATTAGTTCCAGTGCCTTCACCTGGAAATACTTTGCTAGGAAAACCATAAATTTGGGAATTGCTAGCTCTCGTGTAAGAAATTGTGCACTCTTTATAATTCCTGTTGAAATCTATGGGATTACTCAAAACCGCAATCACACATAGATTGCTATAGCAGTAGTACAAAATTCCTAAAGCCAGTGACTTAGTCTTAGAAAAACTCTTCATGTGTTTGCCTGAATGCACAAGGGCTTGAAAGTAGCTAGAAAATGGGATTAATGCGCCCAGCCTTGCAACATCCACATGTTCAGCTGGAAAATCTGAGAAGGGGTTCCATTTTCAATTAGCTGAACTGAAGTACAGTTCTCTATACAACCGGGAACTTGTGTTTGTCTTCAAAGCACATGCAAGTTCAACCTTTCATAAGACCCCCAAAGCTGAATGTTTAACATTTGAGAGAATAAGGAGAGGGACTGAATGCACGCCTCGTTCTCCATCTACTTGTAAACCTTTGTAAAACTAGAGAGCACTGGATTGCTCTTTTCTTGGTGCATTTGGAAACTTCATCAACACATTTTCCAAGAGTTTCTAAAGGATGCTTCAATGACTTTTAAATGATCTCTTGGTATCTAGGACTGATGAAAACAATGTGGTCTAGGAAAATCTAGAGTTCAGTCAAATCAAATACCTTCCATAGTTGGCAAAAGGCCTTTTGAAGGTGCACATAAGGACTTGAAGGTAAATGCTTTCCATATTTTAGCAACTGATCATGAGTGTCACTAAATATTGACGTTTTCCACTGCCGTTGTGGTTAACAAATCTCTCTGCTCCCTGAATCTGTCTAATCCCCTTTTGAAAATCTCCAAGCCAATATTCATTGCCACATTTTGTTACAGTTATGTTTTATATTAAAAAATACTTTCCTCATTATGTCAGAACTGGCCAGACTACGCATTCCAATTAATCTCACGCTAACCTCACGTTTTATAACTGCAACAGATACCTAGGTGAAACAATCAACCTCAATTGAAGCGGACATCTTGTCATTCACAGAAACTGTTAATGTGAATATTACTGCTTCCAAGTGTCTCACTTTCTCTGAACTGGCTTTCCAGCAAACACAAATATGGCGTTATGCAAGAGATACCTGGTGAATAGACAGTTATCAGCATATTTGAGAGCCAGTTTGGGGTAAGTGGTTAAGGCATCAGGTGGCACCAGGCTAAAAACTGGAAAACTGTGAGTTCTAGTTCAGCTTTAGACACACAGTCAACTTGGTGTCCCTGGGTCAATCACTCCCTCTCAGTCCTGGGAAGCAGGAAATGGCAAAACACTTCAGAAATCTTGCTAAGAAAACTGCCAGGATTTGTCCAGGCAGTTGCCAAGAGTCAACACAGACTTGAAGGCTTACCTCTGCAGATCAGGCTTTAGAACTGGACTGAGAAATGTTACAAACATAACCACATAAAAATGTAAGACTACAGACCAAAGTATAAAATCTATTATCTTCTTTCTTTTATTACTTCTATTTTTCATCATGAGAATTTTGCACATTTATTCAGGAGAGCTGAGTAAGGCAAAATCTGGAGACTTGATCCTTTCCTATTGGTGTTCAATATAATATGAGAAAGAGAATATTATGCTCATATTATACATTTAAAAAACATGCTACTGTTACCCTTCAAAAGGGGGTGGATAAGGGGGACCATGATTGTAGGCCCTATACACATACACTACATTAATCAGGAGCAGTTGGTAAGTTTTTTGTTTTTGTTTTACAACCCCCTGACCAAATCACAATAAAAAGGGCACATACATAAGATACAATGTATATCGATCATAAATATATATTCTTGTCAGAGATATGATATGAAGCAAGTCTCTAGCCTGTTACTCTATTGCATAATGCTAATATGCTCAGTATGCTTTCCTGTTTTGGGGTAGAGTGTTACTCCTTTATGTAATTGTTTCTTTCTTAAATGTGGCGATTGAATCTTACTACCCAAGGATATCAGTGGTATATTACTGTTGAGTTCTAGGCAGGTGCCATTGCAGTTACAAGATATGGAGTGCCCCAGCTCTAATTAGACTTTGAAAAAACTGGTCCTGGCCAGTTGCATCAGGAATGGTAGAGCCATAGAAGATGCCTGCTAACTGGGATTATTGCATCGTTAGGTGGTGCCTTGCTGGAATCAGTTCACATCACATTTCTAGTCTAGCAACACCTGTGCTTTTTATTCTAGTTAAGGCTGATAACATTTGTGCATACTCAGATGTATATGAATTTCTGGTACATCTCGTTACTTCCCACCCAATCCCTGCCCACAAATATAAATAAACAAAGTCCCAAACAAATTGGGTTATTTTGCTTTTGCAGCTTGTAAAGAAATAGAAATTGTTCCTATTTTTACATTATTGATTTAAACTATGACAGACGCACACTGACAGGGCCATTCAAGTATCAAACAATAGTAACAGCACACCTTTCAGACTAATTTAGTTGTATCTTCATTCTTCTTCTTCCATACTATGTTATGTAAGCAATTCAAGTGAAAGCATTGGTAAATTAACATGAAGATTTTGGATCCCTGTCAGATATTCTAAACAATGCTATTAACTTATTGGACCAAATAATTTTCCCAATTTCAGCTTACTTGTGGTAAATTATTAGAGAAATACGTTAGACCAGTGGTTTTCAACCTTTTCTTCACCACGGACCCCTTTTAAATACCCTTTGTGGCCATGGACCATGGTCATGGACCACCAAGACTTAACTCAAGATTTAAGTCATAACATTTCTTCAATCCTTCGGTGACCCCCTGTGATAACATCATTCCCCCCAGGGGTCCGCGGATCATAGATTAAGAACCACTACGTTAGACTATGATAGGACAATTATAAAAAACAATATATAAACATTTCTTTTTGTTATGGATCAAATATGAAGCAATTGTTTGTCATTAAAAAAAATCTTGTTACATGGTATGATCAAGACAAATTTAAGTGCACACTTACCTGGAAGTAAAGACCATTAAACTCAATCAAAGTTGCAATTTTATGCATGTTTGTTTAAAAAGAAGCTCCATTAAGCCCAATGGCGCTTATTTTTAAAGAGGCATTAGAGAAATGAAACTATCAGAATACAATTCAGAAATATTAAGATCAACAGAAATTTGGGACAGTGCACATTTAAGACCTTTCATGAACAGAAGGGCTTCTTTTTGTAAAATGGTGGGAGGCAATTCATTCCTGTTAATGCATCCTCAGACTTTTTCCAGAGAGTTGTAAATGTTTTTGGAACAGAATTGGGCTGGGAGTACAAGATGTATAAGGAGCAAAGTGAAAGGAAAGACTTATTGAGGCACATGCTTACATGACAGTCCTCACATACTGTGTTTTGCATAGATGGCTGTTTTGGAATTTAGATCCAGTTGTCACATGCTAAGCCTTTGTTTAACCATGTTTTATTGAATAAAGCACAGTTGGCTGGATTTGTAGAACTCGATAAGACAAAATTAAATACATTATGGTTTAGTGCAGTGCATGAAACCTGATGTACTATTTCTTTACTGTAACTTTCTAACCATCTGGGGCTAGCCTTATATATGCATATATGCCATGCCAGATGATATTGAGTACCATGAAGAAGCCTTGATGCTATGTCAGCAAGTGTCCCCACCATCTTAGCTTTGAACTGCCTGCCTGACATTTCCTGATGTGTATGTGTGTGATATGTTAATATTTTTTTTAAGTGACTCAATTTATGTAGAGTGAAGGAAAGCTAAGCCACCACCTTTTCTCTGGCATCTTTATTTTATTCCACACAACATGCATGAGTTGAAGAAACCGTGTGAGGTTGAAGCAGCTGCACTGTGCAGCTATTCTTGCTTCCTGTTTAGGAAGAAAGTGAATTAAACCTTAAGCTAAATCCCCTCCCTTGCAAATTCAGATGACATATCATCTGACTTTTTGCAGACCTTGGGTAAGCATAACCACAGTTTCATAAGCCTAACCACAGGGTGAAATTTATCATTGCATGTAAACATTTCATTGATACGTTGACAGAGTCCCAGGCACTGCAGAAATATGACATAATTTTAGATTTTACTTATATCTACATTCCTCATATTTATAGAGTTAATCTATTTTCATGCCTTCTTATAGATTATAGGCAGATTCATATAATTCACTATATGTGATTTGCCTGTGATTTAGCATGTCATGGGAATTGAGCCACTAAGCTTTGTAAGCAATGATTTAGCTTACTTTGTGAGCTCAGCCAATTATGATTTATTCAGTAAACAACAATAAAGCAAAACACTGCATTCTGGAAATAAATCCTTATTTAAAATACTAATTGCTTCCTGCTAAGTCTCATTATTTTGTTTTATTCACAGAAGTTTGCAGAAGATTCCAATATAGATGTCTGTAAGAAGCCTGGATGACATCACTGGTGTCAATATGCAAATAATGTGAATTCTCTAATTGGCCTCAGTTGTATCTTTGATGCAAATTATATAATTCATGTCCCTTGCCCTATGATATTATGATGAGCATGATGTCATTTGCTCCCAACCTCAAATGCCCATGGACTTTAGAAATATTAGTCTTCCATTTGGTAATTCTGATATATTGCTCCGTCTTTTACCTTTACCCCTATGGAGGGAGACTTAGCTGAACTGTGCCTTCTGATCAGCCATACTTTGAGCCATGTGCTTGGAAACACTTAAGTTTTTCTAAATCGATTGCAGAATCTGAACAAGAGGTCCCACAGGAAGTAAGGTACTTTGTGATGATCAACGGATCAGAGGCCTTTGTCTTATGGTGCACATTATGGTGCATAAAATGTATTAGATTTTAAATTTCTTTGGTCATACCATGTGTTTTCAAATCCCATGAAAATTGGCCACTTTTTATTTTATAAAACTGAAACACATGCCAATAGCTTTTAACGCTTCTCTCCTCAATCCCTTCTGATAGGGACGCTTCTTAAAAGGGATTACAACCCAGTAGCGAGAAAGAAACATTTTAAAAATTTAGTATAGCTTTTTTAAATTTATAGCAGGGGGAGTGATTAATTAAAAAAAAGAAGAACTTAAATACTAACTGGTACTGAAGATACCGAGCTAGATCTCGATTCCCTGGTCTTAGTGTTGGGCATGGCAATGGTGCAGCATGACACTCCTACGGTGGCTTCAGGTAGCTCATCTTCATCGGTCCATTCATTAAGGTCAGGGTTGTAACACTGAATACATTTCTTGTATTTCTTTTCTATTTCATTCCAGCCTCCCACTAAGTAAATCCTTCCATTAAGAGTAGAAGCACCAGCAGTGCTCACACCAGCGGGAAGAGGAGCAACATAATTCCACTGGCCAGAATATGGACTATAACACTCGACAGGAAGCACATCAACTCTTTCCCCTCGCCCTCCCAGTTGGGACCCTCCCATGATGTAGACCTTTTCCCTTAGGGCAATGGCACAGTGCCATCCTCTCGGGGTGCTAAGGCTGGCCTTGTCTTGCCAGCTGTCACTAGCGGGGTCATACATGCAAACCGAATGGGAGTAAGCATTATTGATATAGCCTCCTGTGACCAAGATCCTACCATCTACTACTGCACTAGCATGGCAGCACCTGGGCATCTCCAGTGGAGACTTCAGCTGCCACTGGTTAATTGCAGGGACATAACATTCAACCGAAGAGAGACACCCTTCAGAATTGCGACCCCCGACTGCAAAAAGGAGACCGTTGAACATATTCAGACTAAAATGAGTGCGCTTTTGATTCATATTGGCCAGATGTATCCAAGTGTTGAAGCGAGGATCATACCTGAAAAAAAATAAGGAAGTATTAATGTCGGAGGACACGTGGAGGAGGGAGGACTCGAGACTTCCCCACTTAGAAACAGCTGCGCAGGTGGAGAGGACGGCTCACTGCATGACACAGCATAACATAGGAGCTCCGAACTTAAGCTCTCAGGGCTGCTTGACGGTAGAGGGTGGCGAGCGAGGGCTTTCTAATGGAGAGTGGAAGCACCTCCCCCCGTGCGCTATTCACACTGACGAAAGGGAAAAGGGGATCGTGTTTACTGCTTTACAGCTGAAGTTAAATGATACGCAGGGAGGTGAGGAGAGGAAGCAAATGGAGGAAATATGCAAGCAACCCCCACAAACAGCACATACTGACACGTTCATGTCATTAGGATTACATAGGATTGGAGAGGGGGGTGAGGGAAAGGGTTATATAGAGGCATCCAATTGTTTTGATGATGTTCCTAAAGATGGTCTTCCAATGATACGATGGCAAGGGAGACCTTCTGATAAACTGGAGGAAGGTGCTTCTGTGTCAGAACCCCATATGGATAAATGGGACGGTGGGAAGGATGATTTTCAGCAAGGGAAGACGATGAACTGTAAAAGACACTCCATCCGAGATGAGAGGAAACATCTAGAGAATGATTATAAGCCTAATGAGGCGAAACGTCCCCACGGTGGTTTGACACGGAAATGCAGCACAAATAAGGATAGAAGGATAATTAAAGGGGTTAATGAGGATGTTACAATGATTGGTTATCATGGCCCTGTCACGAGATCTAGGGCCCGGATGCAGGCGTTGGCTTATTTATAAATGCTTTTCCCATTGATTAACTTTGTGCCCTGAGGATGTCGGAAGGATCCGACGAAAGCTTGGCCCCTATGATTGTATGCTTTTAAAAGTTTTTAAGGTTTTTACTAAACTTTTAATTGTTTTATATTCTCCTGGTGTTCGCATTTTTATTTTGTATCATGGATATTCCCAGGAGTCATTCGTTTGTCTTCTATGTTATTTGCAACCATATATATATATATATATATATATATATATATATATATATATATATATATATAATTTCTGAGAATCCTTAATGGACTTTTGCTGACTAGGATTGAATGTTGAGGCTTTAACAAACTGTTTATAGATAAGAGATGAGGTAATGGGAAGATAGTACTGTATTTTCAGAGAAGGTAATACATTACTAACATTGTTTGTACTTGCTGGATGAAGGGGGAAATTATTTCTTTATATATTTCTTTTCTTTTGCTTTACAGTACTATATTCATTCTTTTTCATTCTTTTATATTTTTATTTGGATTAGCTTTTTATCTTTGTAATTGTAATTTTAATAAAAAAATATTATTTTAAAAAACGCAGCTAGGAAAACTGCACGGACTTGTTTCTGTACACCAAGGGTCAGAATTGATCTGAGGGACCATAAAAACAATGACGGATATTTTTGAAAGTAACAGTTGAGTCCGTTACAGGTCTGTCCTAACAGACCAACCTGGATAAGAGAAAACTATTCCAAAAATGTATAATGCTTGTTTTTCTAAGTCTGCATTCTTTATTCAGAACAGGAAAAAAAAACTTCTAAAATGCTTATGAATAATTACTAAAACATTACCAATTGTTATGGAAACGTAGAAAAGGAGAACTTTTGCACTAGCTTTTCTATCACTCCTCTTACAGAGTTCCTTCTAGAAAATTAGATGGGAATTTTCAAAAGATGTGAAGCTAATAAATGAAAAGTTTCAATGATATCAGTCAGCTACAGCATATTGAAGGAAGGAGGTCCTAAAGTATAACCCATTTCAAATCAGTTCTTAGCATTACATCTCAAAACTCAAAGCAAAATTGTGGGACACTTTCTACCATTCTATGGAGTGAGGCGTCCTGCTTCTTATAGATTTTTAGTGTGCTGCACAGATATGTTTTTAGAAAGTTCCTTATGCCTGGACAATCTACTCTTTAGTCAGGAAGACGTACATAGACTGGCAGTTCCTCAGTACATGTCAGAGACCAGAACTTGAATGTTCTGCATGTAAGGCCAAACTTCTATTCCTGGGATATAATTCTCCCCCAAATTTAAATGTGATTTCAGGCTGTGTATAATTAGGACGTGGTGAAGAGAAAAACTAACCATATATGATTTGGCATACATGGTGGATAGTACATGCCTTCTTTGCTGCAAGACATATGTGGGGAAACGGAACATATTCATCTTTCCATTCCGTAAGTATTAAGCAGCATAATATATTTCTAGCACTGAAACTAAGTCATCTTGGCTGACTCTAGAAATTATTCTGAGTAATTTGGAAAAAGAATGGAACATTATAATAACTAGTGTGTTGTAATAAGTTAATACAGTGGACTAAAATGCTGATGCTCTGATGAAGCTCACAAGATACTCTGGGCTGATCATTATCACTCAGCTTCTCAGGATCAAATGAGGATAAAATCTTGAAAGGGTAAATTGTGTGCACGATCCTCAGCTCTTTAGAATAATGTTTAGACAAGAAATGCAGATGTCTGCAGTCAAAAATATATTAATTATATTTATGTCTTCCTTCTAAAATGGAAATGTTCTCAAGTGATCTGGCAAATCCTTTCACAGCAAATATATCCTCTGTTACACTCTCCTCTTAGCTTTTTTCTTCCTTTACCAGGATAGTCATGGAAAAAAGGAAATACTGGCATGTAAGGTTACTGCCAAAAAGAAGTCCTAGAAGTTGTCCAATTGTTCTGGATGTTCCAGAAAACAAGGAGGGCTACATAAAGTTCTTTCCTGTTTCAAACAAGTGAAAGAGTCACTAAGAATTCCATAACAGGACATAAACCACATACTTTTGCCCTAATAGACGGAAGGATAATGTTGGTAAAAATGGGATAATTTTTATCAAGAAAATTATGCAGATGAAAATTACTATCCTCAAATTGCAATCTGAATCACTCATATTTTGTTTTTAATTAAAAAAGAAACAGATTAAAATAATGGAATCCTGTTGTCTCAGGGAAAGATAGCAACAGCAGACTTATACACTGTTTCATAGTGCTTTACGGCACTCTTTGAGAAATTTACAGTGTCAGCTTTTCCCCCCCAGCAATCTGGGTCCTCCTTTTACTGACCTTGGAAGGATGTAAGGCTGAGTCAATCTTGAGCCAGTCAGAATCGAACTGTTGGCAGTCAACAGAGTTAGCCTGCAATATTGCATTCTAACCACTGCATCATTACGGCTCTTATAACATAATGGTAACTATGCCTCTCAATCATCAACTGTATTTGAGGGGAGGAAATTAGTGGATCTGAATATTTATGTATTTTTCTTTTTTTTAGTATATGTGGAACAAAACATAATTTGATTTAATGTAAATTGAATTAACATTAATTACATAAACTGCTTAATATGATTGCTCTCCAAATATTTATTAATTTATTAATTTCCGACAGTCACATTCTGTCACTGACCCCTGATTCTCAGAGGAACTCCAGGAGATGAAGCATCAGAAGAGATGCTAGAATATCACTGGAGAAGACAAACTAATCTGACTCAAGATAGGTAAGAGCCTTTGTTACCCTACAGTGATAAGAGTGAGAAAAAAAATACTTATTCTTCTGCTCCTATTGCATCTACAGAGGATTATTTGAGGCATGTATTGGACAAAGATACTTGGATTTACTTTGAATTGGACTCTAGTTGTGTAAGTCTGGTACTGTTGATTGAGATACACTCTGGCAAAAGACAGGGAAGAGGGCTCTGGAAGTCACAAATTATCTAAATCTATTAGATTTCAGGCCTGGATAGAATGCCAAAGCAGCACTGCTTTTGTTTGTTGATAACTAATTTTAGGGCCAGGATGGGAGCATCAGGGTGCTGCTCGAACTCTCAGTGGTCTTTGGTAACATTGATCATGATATTCTTCACCATTAGCTCAGCAGGTTGAAAGTGAGAGGCACAGGTTACAGTGGTTTTCCTTCTTGTAGGGTTGGTTTCACGTTAATTGAGATAGGGAATGGGAATGTCACAGCTTAGTCCTGAGCCTTTGCCTCAGAGCTTGATTGTCTTCCTAACCCTGTTTAATATCTGTCACCATGGGATTAAGTGTCATCAGTACATTGATGAAACCCAGTGATAAAGCTCAATCCTTGCCACCCAAGTGATACTGTTGAAATTCTCTCAGTGTCTGGAAGTTGTAAGGGTCTGGATGGGGAAGAACAGGCTCAGAAAACCATAGTAAGACTGAGTGAGTGGGATCATCTGGGTCCAGAAAGTTTCTATCTTCATTTCTAGAGATGGTCCCAAGTATGCCTAATAGAACCAGTGTACAACTTGCACAAATCGATCTTGTGCACAAAATCGGGATTGCGAGTTCTCCTCACGATCACCTCTACCCTTGTGTGGCTACATAGACTGCTACTTCACTAGTTGCACTGATTACCAGTAGGCTTCTGGATGCAAATCAAGTTGCTGGCATAGGGTTTAGTTATTTGCAAGACTGCCTTTCTCTAATTATTTCTGCCTATTCATTAAGATCTGACCTGGTCGGCATATTCTGGGTCTTGACATATAAGCAGTGCTAACTGGTGAGACACAGGAGATGTGTCTTCTCTATTACTGCACCTGTCTTATGTAACAACATCCCCTTGCATGCCCAACACCCCAGATCCAAATGGCTCTGACTTTCCTTCTAAAAGGCTCTGCCCCTTAGACCCTGGCTTGGGAGTTTCTATGCCTGTAATTTTTTTCAATTTTGAAAATTGCCTCTTGTCAATAATACATAATAATGTAATGTAATGTGGTTTTTAATACTGTACAGTCTCCCGGGGCATATTGATTGGGCAACTTTATGAAATTGATCAAACATAATATAATATAGTGGAATTTATTTTTTAAAATAGAATTCAGGAATTTGCTTCCAAGGTTGAAGTGAGGTAGGGCAGCTGCATGTGATCTCAGACTGCCTTGCCCCAAGCACAAAGAGGATCTGCAGATTTCTCCATGAAAAATAAGATGCAAAATCATACCTCTTAGCAAAGCACTATTTTAGCACTAATAGCACTATTTTTATATGTGTAACCCCAGAAAAGAAAAGAGAGAGAAAAAGGCTTCTCATCCGACTGCAGGATAACTTCTCTGACCTGGTGGTGTCCAGATGTGTTGGATAATAATTCCCCGCCCCCTTTGCTGACGTGCTAATCATAATTGTAATCCAATCCACTAGGAGGTTGCCAGGTTGAGAAAAATAATTTTAAAGCAATGAACCAAATTAATTTGCTATTTCTTGGAACTATATATTTTCTCTTCCCCCCCGCCCTCCCCGCCACATATATACATATATTTCTCCTTCTTTTTCTGGAGCTGTCAGCTCTGTGCTATGTCTCTACTGCTATATATAATCAGTTACCTGCAAAAATTGCTGACTGCATGCTTTGCTTGATTTCTGGCATCGTTCTGGTCTTCGCCACCTGCCACATAGAGAAATCCATCCATCACGATGACACACTGGTTGAAGCTTTTGGCAGGCATCTCTGTAAGTCTTTTCCACCCATTGTCGGGATCTCTGTATAAAATGTCTCTGCTAAGAGATTTTTCTGTTAAAGCTGGACGTCCCCCGACTGTAACTAGGACTCGTAATCCTCCTCGAATCCTGGTTCTTCTTGACTGTAGAGTATTCTGGTGGTAAGGAAGTAAGTGGTAATTCATGGCATCTACCAGAAGTCTATGGCAATCTGTGTCTAGCATCATTCTTGGTACAGTCTGAACATAATTCACCAGGTCCTGAGCAGAGATGGTACCAAACCGAATGTTGCTCAAAAGATCTGCAGCATACTTAGTTCTTTTTTGGTCAAATTCCAGCCATCTCATTGCAATCTGGAATGCAATAAGTTCAGAAGGCAACTGCAAGTCATCATCTGCAAGAAGTTCGTTAATCTGGTCAAAAGTAAGCTTTAAGAAGTTATCTGATTCTGAAAACTCAATGAAATTGTCTCTAATGAATTTCTGTGATGCTTCCTTAGCAGTTTTCAGTCCATATGTCTCTGCAATGTTGGCAATATACATACAATTCTCCACATTGATTTCTTGCATCAGAAAGTCACTGCACATCTTCACAAGGGTGTGTATCTGAAGATAAATGGCTGTGGAGATAATACTACCTATAGTATACAGGGATAGTGTAAGTTTTCCAGTATAGGCGTACGCAATCACAGTGGCTAGGCCTAGTGGGGATACATCATTGAGGTCCACTCTTTGAGTTGATGGATCTTTCTTTAGGATGTTATGGAAATAATCACTGCATGATGCCATCACCACCTTGTGGACATCAAAGGACTTGGTTTTGGTACCAATTATTAAATCACAGAGAAAATTTTCCAGCCTCATCCTACACAAACCTTCCAAGAGGTTGGGACTATAGAAAGCATCAGAAACTTCTGTGGAAACACAACTGAAGCCATTGCCTCCTTCCAGGAAGGTATTCAATCCATTGAGCTTGCTGAGAGGCCCATCCTCCACTATAATGGTTAACTCATTGATATCCGCCTTGTTCTTTTTGACATTCTTCTTCTTGGGCGCCATGACTGCAATATAATATCACAGCCAGGATCTTGCTAAAAAAAACCCAGAACAAGGAGAAAAAAAACACAATAATTTGTACACCCATATTTAAACATCTTACTAAAATTGATCCCAAAGTTTTCTTATAATCTGTAAGCGTACCTCAAAGAAATGAAATATAAACGAGCAGGAGGATAATTAACACTTTAACAACATATCTGCAGCATTTGGTTGGTATGTCTGTGTGGTTAATTATCACTCGGTAAATGATAGTTTGTATCCCTCTTCAGATGGTATGTCTGGATAAGAGAGCATTTTTGCACCCCAGTCACTCCAGTCTCCCGAGATCCCAATCCTGAATGCTGAAATGGATTTTTATTCAATTTAACTTTAATATAAATATAAATATAAATATAAATAGATCCTCTTGGCTGTTAATCTAAGTAACCTTACTAATAACCCAGCCTCAAATCCCATAGAGTTAATCCATTAAAATGAACATGCACAGAATTCCCTCCTTTTGCAACAGAAAAACAAAGGTGGGTAGGTCAGGGGAATGTGAAGCCAGAGACTCTTGATCCAGAACCCTTCACACATGTTTACACACCTGTTCAGCTATAAGGGTTAAAAAGGACTAACAACTCATGTAAAATTTATAATACTTATTCAACTGCACATTTCACTGAATAGATGACCTTTGCAAATTAATATTTTCCAAGTTAGTCTTCACTTCAGATTAATTTGGATAGGCAAATCAGATCAGACTCCCATACAGTCCTAATTTATTTGAAAAAAAAAAAACCCACTGAACTAAACTACAACTCCATTCCAAATCGCCAGAGCCAGCTCGGTGTAGTGAAGGTGCTGGCCTACAAACCAGGAGCCTGTGAGTTCCTGTACCTCCTTAGGCATGTGACTTTGGGCCAGTAACACTCTCTCAGCCCAACCTATCTCATAGGTTGAAAAAAATAGGAGGAAGGTTTATTAGGCATGTTTGTTGCCTTGAGTTGATCAAATATTTTTTAAAAGAATGAAAACCTAACAACAACAACAACAGCAATAATATGCACGTTTGTTCATTAAAAAGCTATCCTTATCTTTCATCTAAAAGGACAGATGGCTCCTCTCCCTTCTTGATTGAAGCCTCCAGGGATGGAATTATTTTCCTCCAAAACATTGCTATTTGGATAAAGACTTTGCAACAGGTGAGAAAAGGGTAAATTGATATTCTAGTTGCTTTGGACTTCAATTCCTATCAGTTCTAGAAAGCATAACCAATGGTGAAGAATTCTGGAGGCTATAGTTTGAGAAAGAATATGATTGAGATGTATAAAACCATAGGAGGCACTAGGATCAAGGTTCATCCAGTGAAGCTGATTGTAAAGATGTTGATCTGACCAGCAGGGTTATTCTTAGGTTTGAAGAACTAGACGAAACTGGTTAATTGCCTTTTGAATAAACATTGTATGGGATTCATTAACAGGCCTTGATGACTATGTTTATAGTTAAATGGATCGTTCTACTTGAAGCAATAGAGGAATTGGTTCTCCATTTTAGAAGAGCTGCTTGTCCTAGAATAACCTAGTTAATTTTCCATTGTGTTGTGTTCCATTACAAGCATCTTCTGAGTAGATGTCATTCTATTATTAAGTCTTGCTCTTGTGCAAATGGCATTTTTATGTTTCTATCCTATGCCCTCATATCTGGATATGTATTAACATTTTGTTTGGTTGCTACATGAGCATTGTTTTAAGCAGAAAGGTAGAATAGTAATTAATAGATAAAATCTATGCCTGAGATTAGATATATTAGAAATGTATATAATATATGTAATCCTGAGTTGTCTTGAATACGGGTTCAGGCTTATACAGCTATAGCTTAAATGACTCCCAGAACTCTGGTTTAATAGACGAATAATAACTTTTTCAATTTTGCATCCTCTGAAATAAAACATTTGGGGTATAATATGTTCAAATTATTTCTGTAACTCAGTGGTTCTCAACCTTTTTAATGCCGCGACCCCCAACCGGTCGTAAGTCGAGGACTAAACCGGTCGTAAGTCGAGGACTAAACCAGTCTTAAGTCGAGGACTACCCAACCGGTCGTAAGTCGAGGACTTCCCCTGCCTGGGAGCGCCGCACATGCGTGGTTCCGCCCCCTGCGCCGGCCGAGGCTTAGCTGGCAAGCGGCAGAGACGGAGCAGGCCGACCACCAGCTGGCCCAGCTCAAGGGAGGTAAGGCACCCACCGGAAAAGGGGAAAAAAATGGCGGACAGCCTTGCTTGGCGACCCCCGTGAAATGGTCGATCAACCCCAAATGGGGTCGCGACCCATAGGTTGAGAACTGCTGCTGTAACTGATAAGCTAAGTTAGGTTTATGGTGTAAAATGCTAGTGTTAAGCTATCAGTTTCCTAAGATGTCTGTTGATTTTATCTAATTTCTTATTTTGATCAGCTTTAATGATTAGCTGCTTTTTTTCAACTGCTTAGGACTCATTAATTGCAGAATAACAGAATAATAGAGTTGGAAGGGACCTTGGAGATCTTCTAGTCCAACTCCCTGCTGAAGCAGGAGACCCTATACCAGACATGTCAAACTCATGACATCGCGCAACGTATTGGGACAGTTTTGCCATTGCCGGCAATGGGTTGGGCGCAACTTCTGCGTGACTCATCCGGCCCATGGGCCTGCAGTTTGACACCCCTGCCCTATACCATTTCAGATAAAGGGCTGTCCAATCTCTTTGTGAAAAGCACCTATAATTTCTGGAGGCAAGCTGTTCCACTAATCAATTGTTCTCACTGTCAGAAAATTTCTCCTTAGTTCTAGGTTGCTTCTCTTTGATAACTTTCCATCCTTTTCAGTGGTTCTCAACCTTTTTAATGCCGCGACCCCAACCGGTCGTAAGTCGAGGACTAAACCGGTCGTAAGTCAAGGACTAAACCGGTCGTAAATTGAGGACTAAACCGGTCGTAAGTCGAGGACTACCCAGCCGGTCGTAAGTCGAGGACTTTCCCTGCCCGGGAGCGCCACGCATGTGTGGTTCCGCCCCCTGCGCCGGCCGAGGTGTAGCTGGCAAGCGGCAGAGACGGAGCAGGCCGACCACCAGCTGGCCCAGCCCAAGGGAGGTAAGGCACCCGCCGGAAAAGGGGAAAAAAATGGCGGACAAAAAAAATGGCGGACAAAAAAAATGGCGGACAGCCTTGCTTGGTGACCCCCGTGAAATGGTCGATCGACCCCAAATGGGGTCCCGACCCACAGGTTGAGAACCACTGCTTTACTTCTTGTCTTGCCCTCAGGTGGATATAACAATAAACTTTTCATTCTTACCCCTTTTTTGTTTCATTGTCCTTGAATATTTTGTTAACTAACTCAAATGCCAACAACAGTGAAACAGTATTATAAAATTAAACTCAGATTTCTTGGTGATGGAAATGTTGGCATGAGAATTTGGGGAACTGATCCAAGCTTTTGAAGGATGCTCAGTTTCAGGAAGACTGATTTATACTCATTTCTAATTGCTATTATAAGCAACATCTTGAAATAGTTTACAATAAAAATAATTAAAATATAAACATATTTTCCAACTTGCCATAAAATATAATGTTGATGGATGTTACTCAGATTTTTTATTTTAAATGGGCCAATGTTTCCAGCGGAATTTTCTATGCCATAGTGAGAAGCACAAAAAACTTCACTCAAAAAGCAGCCATCATCTCCCCACCAGACAAACCATTATGTAAACCCTAGGAAACCAAATATCCAGACTCTAGAATCTGCTCTTTTTCATTTTGGTGTTCAGTCAGTTAGAGACTGAAACACCTGCCTGTGATGTCCTACAGGAAGTTGCAAAGCTTTTGGAACCAGGACTGGGTTCAAATCTCCATTCAGCTATGAATTGCCCTGAATGATCTCAGGCCGATCATTCTCGACAATCAAAACTAGCCCATTCCAGAGAAAGGACAAGAAATATAATAATAATAGTAAAGTTGGAAGGGACCTTGGGGGTCATCTAGTCCAACCCCCTGCTCAGGCAGGAAACCCTATACCATTTCGGACAAATGGCTGTCCAGTCTCTTCTTAAAAACCTCCAGTGTTGGCGCATTCTGGAGGCAGGTTGTTCCACTGGTTAATTGTTCTCACTGTCAGGAAGTTTCTCCTTAGTTCTAGGTTGCTTCTCTCCTTGATTAGTTTCCACCCGTTGCTTCTTGTCCTGCCTTCAGGTGCTTTGGAGAATAGCTTGACTCCCTCTTCTTTGTGGCAGCCCCTGAAATATTGGAACACTGGTATCATGTCACCCCTCGTCCTTCTCTTCGTTAAACTAGACATACCCAATTCCAGCAACCGTTCTCCTTGAGGAAATCTTGGAGTTCGATAAGCACCAAATAAATGAATTAAATAACTGGTGAAATATAAAAGCAAATAGCACTGAAGTACCTAAGTGAGCGCCTACATGTTGCCAGGAGGCATGGTGCCAAAGTGGTAAAGATAAACTAGTTACCTCATTTCCTGCAAAGCAATCTCCTAACGCAGCATTTCTCTCTTGTCAAGGATTTCACACTTAAGTCTTCAAACATGCCCCGCTCGGCATTTTATCTCTCGGAAAGTTAAACTCCTTTGGGAGAATATAGCTGCTCTCATAACGCCTCCCAAGGAACAGCCATCCATGCGTAAGGGGGGAGAGAGCTATCTGTGCTCAAAGTGTCAAAGTTGCTTGCATGCCAGAAGGCTCCGAGACCCCCCTCCCCAAGCATTACCAAAGCAGTGGGTCAGCTGCTCCTTCCCCCCCCCTTAGGCCCCTCCCCAGCCACATTCTTCAGGCTGCATCTGTTGAAACCCGTCAGGGCTATTTCCAAGAATAGCCATGCTCCCTGGCCTTCAAATGACTTGCCATTTTAAGACACGCTCAGTTTAAAATGTCTGTCTTTCTTCAGGACAGAATTTTTTTTTTTCTTGCCCAGGTACTTAACACGAGGGATAAGTTTCCTGCTTAATTAAAAAAGAAGTTAAAGTTAGATTAAATCACTCTGATAAGATGAAATACTTAAACGTACATTTGGATAGTGTGCATTTAAATTTCCTCTCCTGTTTCGCTAAGCCGGTATTCCTTTAGACGTTAAAATATCCCCACCTTATTTTACTTCAACAACACATCAAAGAAATTATTACCCTCACTTAAAGAAAACCAAAGTGAATAATATTTTTCAAAGGTAGCCTTTCATTGATTAAGGCATGACATGCTCCTGGGGACAAGTGCTGGTCTTTTGAAATCCATCAGCCAAAGGAGAGGAGTTTCATCCATCAAATTAAATTGCACACACTCTGTAGGAAGAAAGATAATTACAGAAAAACTATCTCTAACTTGATTTATTAGGGGCTCCTCATATCTATAGCCGATTGTATTCTCTTCATACTTTGGGGCTTCGTGTCAGATTCATGTCAAATGAGATTTGGGCTATAAACACAGGCAGGAAAAACCCCTCTTTATGAACGCAAATTAAAGCCAATCTCAAAAAGAATAGGATTAGGTTCTCCTTACCCTTTTTCAGGAAAGAAAGAGGCTTCCTGGGGTGTCCCAGCACAATATCAATGAGAATATCTTGTGAAAAGAAAAAAAGAGAAGGAAGAAGGAATGGAAGTCCTGCCTGGTTCTACCCAACTGAGGATTCTAGTGTGACCTGCTGCCACCGAGGAGAAGAGAGACTGGAGTTTGCGCTTTGGGGCACTTTAAAAATGACCCCTCCTCCCATCCCTCCCTGTCACCCGGAGCAGTTTATGTTTCCTGTGCCTGCCTGGTTTTGAATCTCAAGTAAATTTCACTGGGCTCCTTCATGGCAAATGAAGCAGAGTAAGAGATAAGCAACGGGAATGCTATGCTTCCCATTGCAGTTGTTTCACACTGAACCAGCTGGAAGGATCATTAAGTTTTTCTTCAATCTTCATTCCTTCTTTTGAGAAAAAATGAGATTTGGTAATTCAGCATTTTCTCTCCCTTTCTTCAAACTTCATACATGCAAGAGCAACAGCTGGGAAGAATCCTCCACCCCCCCCCCAGGAGAACAAAGAAGGAGAGGAGCAACCTAGAACTAAGGAGAAACTTCCTGACAGTTAGAACAATTAACCAGTGGAACCACCTGCCTCCAGAAGTGGTGAATGCTCCAACGCTGGAAGTTTTTAAGAAGAGACTGGACAGCCATTTGTCCGAAATGGTATAGGGCCGTGGTGGCGAACCTATGGCACGCGTGCCATAGGTGGCACACAGAGCCCTCCCTGTGGGCACATGTGCCGTCGCTCCAGTTCTTCAGCTGGGTTTTATAAAACCTTTTCGTTTTAGGCCTCCGCCACCATGTGCAAACAAAAAAAAAGGTTCAATCAATCAATTTCAACTTCTCGTGGGGGAAAAAAAAGATCTCGCAAAGTTGGAATTGATTGATTGAATTTTTAGTCCCATCCAGTCTGCCGTTACCACCGCAGCCATGCCCACCCAATGGGCCACGCCCACCCAATGGGCCACACCCATCCAATGGGCCACGCCCATCTGGCACCCGATGATACATAAGTGGGTTTTGGGTTGCAGTTTGGGCACTCGGTCTCTAAAAGGTTTGCCATCACTAGTATAGGATTTCCTGCCTGAGCAGGGGGTTGGACTAGATGACCTCCAAGGTCCCTTCCATCATCATCATCATCATCATCATCATCATCATCATCATCATCATCATCATCATTATTATTATTATTATTATTATTATTGTTCTGACTGGCAGGGGCTCTTCAATTTCCCATTAGTCTGGCCCCACCTGATCTCTTGTTTTAACTGGAAATGCCAGGGATTAAATGTAGATCTCCTTTATGCAGAGCTGATGGTCTGCTATTAAACAGTGGTGTACCTTCCTACTGAACTCATTGGGATATAATTCTTAACAACCATACATGGGCATGTACTGTAAATGTGCCAGCTTGTAAGTTTTGCACAATCAGTATATGATGCTTTATTATATCTCCTTGTTAAACAAAATGTTACCCACAGAACATTTTCCTTATCACGAAGAGCCAGATAAAGAGGAAGAACATCAGAAATTGGCAAACTCTGCATCTCTTTCTTAATCTCTTACATAATATAAACAGGCTTGGGCAAATAGACTATGCCACAAAGTACAAAATCTAGTCACACATTGTGGATAAAAGCAGTGCCATCCTAATGCCTATTTATTCAGCAGTAAATTCAGTGACATCTACTTGAATGTAAACTCTACAAACCTTATAATATGTCACATTTATATGAATGTTTATAATTATAAATATATAGGGAAGAGGACTGGTCTTGCTCTGACAGCTGCCATGAAATGAAAAACACCAAACTGTTTTATTTTTCTCTTCAGCTGTTAACCTATTAATAATAGCAGCATCATAAAAATATAGTATATAAAATAATGCAAGCATCTCCTTTTCAGGATGTGTGTTCCATTAACTTCTACACACATCTTCTTACTGTAGATACAACCTTCTTAAGTCATTTGTCCTTGTCATTTCAGAAAGACAGACTTATTTAATATAGAATCTTATCTATATATTTGGGTGTGCTTCATCTTCTTCTGATTTGTTTTATATATTTATTCATTTAACTATGATATATGAAGTTTGAAAAATTATCATCATCATAAACAGAAAGTAAGCTATTAATAAGTTGTTTATCTACAAGAAAAAACTGTGGGAAGAGGAGTGTTACCACTTCCTGGTAGAAGATCACTGGGTAGTGGTTAAATGAACTTCTTTTGCTAAAAAATGCCATAGACTGGATCTATTTATTTGTCATATTTAGAACAACAGAGTTGGAAGGGACCTTGGAGGTCTTCTAGTCCAACCCCCAGCTCAGGCAAGAAACCCTATACCATTTCAGTCATATGGTTGACCAATCTCTTTTTAAAAACTTCCAGTGTTGGAGCATTCACAACTTCTTGAGGCAAGTTGTTCCACTGATTAATTGTTCTGACTGTCAGGAAATTTCTTCTTAGTTCTGGGTTGCTTTTCTCCTTGGTTTGTTTCCATCCATTGCTTCTTGTCCTGCCTTCAAGTGCTTTGGAGAATAGCTTGACTCCCTCTTCTTTGTGACAACCCCTGAAATATTGGAACACTGCTATGATGTTACCCCTAGTCCTTCTCTTCATTAAACTAGACATACCCAGTTCCAGCAACTGTTTTTTATATGTTTTAATCTCCAGTCCTCTGATCATCTTTGTTGCTCTTCTCTGCACTTTTTCTGGAGTCTCAACATGGTTTTTACATCGTGGTGAACAAAACTGGATGCAGTATTCCAAGTGTGGCCTTACCAAAGCATTGTAAAGTGGTATTAACACTTCACATGATCTTGATTCTATCCCTAGAACTGTCTTGGCTGTTTGGCAGCTGCAGCACACTGCTGACTCATATTTAAGTGATTGTCCACTAGGATTCCAAGATCCCTCTCATAGTTACTACTATTGAGCCAGGTACCATCTATACTGTACCTGTGCATTTAGTTTTTCTTGCCTAAATGTAGAACCTTACTTTTTTCACCATTGAATTTCATTTTGTTAGATAGCGCCCAATGTTCAAGTCTGTCAAGATCCTCCTGTATCTTAAGCCTGTCTTCTGGAGTGTTGGCTATTTCTGCCAGCTTGGTGTCGTCTGCAAATTTGATGAGTTCCCCATCTATCCCCTCACCCAAATCATTGATGAAGATGTTGAAGAGCACTGTGCCTAAAACAGAGCCTTGGGATCCCCGACTGCATACTTCCCTCCATGTAGATGCAATTCCATTGAGGACCACACGTTGAGTGCAGTTGGTCAGCCAGGTATGAATCCATCTGGTGGTGATGCTGTCTACCCAAATTTTTCTATCTTATCAAGTAGTAGGTTGTGGTCTACTTCATCAAATGCCTTACTGAAGCAAGTAAATTATATCCATAGCATTCCTCTGGTCCATTAATTTTATCACCTGGTCAAAGAATGCAATAAGATTTGTCTGGCATGATCTGATTTTGACAAACCCATGTTGGCTTTTGGTTATGACTTTGTTTGCCTCTACGTGTTTGCAGATTCATTGCTTACTTATGTTTTCCAGAATCTTTCCAGTTATTGAGGTCAGACTGATAGGTTTGTAGTTTCCTGAATCTATTTTTTTCCTTTTTTTGAATATTTATACAGTTTACATCTCATATATGTGACTCTGGGCAGCAGACCCAATTTAAACAAACCAGCAACAACAAAATTATTAGAAGATTATTAAAAACTTGTCTGTCTGTCTGTCTGTCTGTCTGTCTGTCTGCCTGCCTGCCTGCCTGCCTGCCTGCCTGCCTGCCTGCCTGCCTGCCTGCCTGCCTGCCTGCCTGCCTGCCTGCCTGCCTGCCTGCCTGCCTGTCTGTCTGTCTGTCTGTCTATCTATCTATCTATCTATCTATCTATCAGAATTTATATGGCTGCCCACTCATTGTCAATGACTCTGGGCAGCTTACAAAAATAAAAACAAGATACAAACAAGATACAAACAATAAAAACAATAACCCCTCACCCCCTGGCATCAACAGTCAATATAGACAAAACCTTGGGAGAATGCATCCAAAACCTTACAGACATTTCATTGGCTCCCTATTTCCATGGGATTCCCAAGCCTGCTGACAAAACTAAATTTTAAGAGATTTCCTGAAGATCAATGGGATCGGGGGTAATCTCACTTCAGGAATGAGGAATGAGGTTCTAAAGGGCAGGCGCCATGGCAGAGAAGGCTCTCCTCCTTCGTTCCATCAGATGGAACTCCTTAGCAAGTGGGATCCATAACATGCCTCTACTGCAAGATTTGGGGAATGGGAGATGTTATTGAGATTGTTAAGTTGAAAGATGGGAATGGAAAGGACCAGTGGAACCAAGCAAATTATTATTAATCGCCTTGATATAAGAATTGGAACAGGAGAAAAGCCTGGGGCATCCTGTATTCCCTTTCCACGTTCATCTACTCAACAGATACAACAAGTGGATAAAAGGCATGCTATATAATGTCTCAATGCCCATATCTGCAATATTATAAGGACAGGAGAAAAAGAATGCCTATGAATGATCAGTAGTATGCATTTGAGTGTTATTTGTGGCTAAACCCCTGAGTACATGAGTCAGCCTTCTGCCACGTGAGTGAATGCCTCTGAGATGCATGAACTACCAATTTCCACAATTCTCAGCAAGAGTGGGTAGCAAGGAAATTCTGTAACTTTGAGTTGAGACAACTGGAGGATGCCACCCCCAACCTGAAGAAGGCTAGCATATGTGTTTGATTGCATGATGTGCCCATGCTCTTATCACAGTTTTCTTTAAATGTATTGCAACAGTAGGTAAATTCAGTCCCCATTTTGGTAAATTTTGTGTTTATTATTTATGTTTGTATATTTGAAGAGAGTCTTAATGACACTGTAAAAAACCCATCTTAATTTTCCAGACAATTTCCCTTTGAACAGAATCCAGTATCTAGTTATGAAAATATTTTGTGAAAGCAGTCAAAGAGATGGACTTGTTTACAATCATGTTGTTGGAAATTTTTC